CAGTTCTTATTTCAGTTCGTACCACCAATAAGCGCACTCCGTGATAATTATTCGTTTCAGATCCTATGTGGCGCCATCTTGTGGAGAGTAGACAAGTTCTCAGAGCTTCTTTTTGGGAGAGAAAACAGAGAATGTGGTGAAGTACAGGTATTGGCAGTTGGGATATTCTGTCTTCCATTGCTACGGAGGTACTCTCCTCTCTTTCTGTTATTGTTTTTCAAGAGTTTATTATAACACAGAGTTACTCAGTTTTCTAATAAAAGAACTTCTCTTTTAATATGACTATGAATTTGTTAATATGTCTATTCCTATTCAAATTTGGTTACACAATATATATCAATTCTGTCTCAAATTTTCTTTGATCGCAGTTATTTATTTATTTATTTATTTATCGTTAACAACAATATTAAAACTCACATTAACGAATATGCTCTATTTGACAACTTGAGAGTACACACCTTAGATTGCAATTTTTCTATTATTGCTGCTTTTATACAAGTACTCAATAATTTTTATAGGGGAAATTGCATTAGAAGGCTCAACTTTTTGATATTGTATCCTTGAATTTTATTTTATTTTAATAAAAGACCTATATTTTAGGTTATTTTGAGTTTGTATAGGAACTAGTAAAGTGCACGTGCGATGCACGTGGTGTCGAATGATATTCGCGGAGTAAGTTTGCAAAATAAATTAATTAATTTATTAAACATATCATTGCAGAAATGAAGTAAAATATAGAAAAAATGAATTCATATGTGATTTTTTTTATTTAGAATTAACGTAATGATGTCCTCATATAAAAAGAGTGAAATAACGTTTTACAACCCCCAACAAAATATATATAAAAAATAAATCCCTAATAAAAAAAACACAAAGATTTTCTTTCATTTTGGTTTTGATGTTCTCATAAAAACATTCATAGTCGTTGGAGTCCAATACATCAATAATATTGCAAAATTTCTCTTAATTAATTTGACAAAACGCCAATTTTATTCAAACACTTAAGAAACATTCCGACCCAACATATAGTCAAATTTAATGATCGCATGATCTTTATAACAAGGTATTTCTACTAACAAAGGATAAATATCTCTATGAAATAACTAACAGTGTCACTAAAATTGTTGATATTTTTTATCACTGTATAAACTACTAATTCCTCTTAATTAATTTTACATTCCTTTGTCTCTAGTATATTTGTGTCTACCCTATTGATGCATCGCCCCACGAGGTGGGAATGGATTTTATCTCCAAATAAAAGTTGACTTTCCAAAATCTGGGTACATGTACTTCTCCCGAGGTGCTAAATTATTTTTTGAAATCACCATACATTACCTGAAAGTACCTCTAAAGTAATTGCACATATGTTCAAACGCAATACACCAATGGGATTATAAATATTTCTATAAGAAATGACAACTTCATTCTAACATTCCAAACTGTTTTGATATTCATACATTTCATTTACAATGTTATTTATTTAGAATATAGATGGGCAATATAATCTATTTTTTGCAATGATAAAACAAAACAAACAAAACAATGAGAAAATATTGAGAAGCATATCATTTGTTAAAATATTTGACAGCAGAAGAATTAGAATTCCATTATAGGACAATACTTTTAGTCATCTGTAAAGTTTATTATTATGGAGTCATGATTAAAATATACATCCTGTATACAATTTTTTGGATTTTTTAATTATTTAAAATTAAAAATAAATAATATATGATCATTATTTATGAGAACCAATTTCTTACAGAGTCTATATATTTAAACGCTAGCAACAAAAAAGTAGTAATTTTAAAAGACTTTTTGTTTGTAAATATTGATATTCATACTTTTCTAAGAAAATTAGCACGTTTTCTTTTTCTCATTGCATTACTATTATATTATTTGTACTTATTCTATAGACAAATAATATTTTATTTGCTAAGTAATAAAACACATTTATACGTATTACGGTTTTTTTTGTATGTGTTATATATAATGATGTTATCAAATTATCTTATTTATTAGGCTACAATTAATATAATCACATAAGATTAAATGTAATGTAATATATTTGATAAAGATGTACTTTTTGTACGAATTAATAGATTAAAAAGTTTAGAATTTTTTTCAATGTTTGATAAAATATTAATTAACTAAGTCATTTTCATAATCACTGAATACATATATGGTACCATCATTATAAGGTTCATTTTCCAGCAGTAATTGACTTCACATAGCTAATGTTATTTCCTTTCTTTTCTCTGACCTAGTCTTTCCTTTTATCTATGACTTTATGTTGCTTCGCTTCGTTTGTACCCTAAGGTGCATTTGTCATAGTTTCAGCATTAAATCGTGTCAAACATATATCGGATTTGAGCGCTCTAGCCAAAACGTGGGAACAATTAGAATTTTAAACCCATTTTTTTACTTTTTTTTTTTTAATATGAATTGTTTCAAATTTATGTATGAAAACATACTACAAGTTTATCTTATGTTATTTTATACTTAATAAAATTGATTTAACTTGAATATAAAATTTATTACATTATATACTTTAACACCAATTTATTATTTTAAATTAGTACTGATATATATATATATATGTTATTTTATATCAATATAAATAATTATATTATTTTTATGTTATTGCAATATATGGGTCAACTCAAACATCATTGAAAATAAATGATGTGATATATTACATATAAAAAGGTAACAAATAAAAGATATGAAGTATTTTAAAATTTAAAAATTTAATGATAGAAAGTAATAAAAATCTTAACTAAAAAATTTTGAAATTAACATACCCACTTTTAAAGAAATATACATATATATATATATATATAGGGTTGAGTTCACATGAGAATGGTTTTCAATGAAAGAAATGAGAATAAATTGTAGCCATTAGATCATCCGATCTAATAGCTAAAAAAAAGTTAAAATTATACCTCATTAAGGGTAATGTAGTAATTTTTTCAACCACATCAATAGAAGTGGACCCCACATAACATTAACAAACTTACAAACCTGCCAACAATAACATGCCCTCAAGCCTACCCACCATCACACGTTACTCACCCTCAACCATCCCCCTCCCCTACACACTGTCTCTCACACACAGTTCACACACTGACAGGCACAAAAAAACACACACAGAAGAATTCACTCCACGGCGGTCACCATGCCGTCTGCCGCCGCGTCTTGCAACCTCCCATCACAAAGCCTGCCGAAACGTACACACACACACACATAGCGGCGCACACCGTAGCCACGCCGTCTGCCGCCTCCAGCCACAACCGCCACCGCGCACCACCCGATACCCGCGAACTGGACAACCGTCAACTTCCAAGCGAATTTCGACCTCCATGAGCAGTCAGCCACCGAGATCCGCCGCCTCTCGCAGACAATAACCACCGGCCACCGCCGTCGAGACCCGCCATAAGACTCCGCGAGAAGTGCTCGAGTCCCAACATATGAACAGTGGAGTTGAACGGACAGATTATGCTATTCAAACATAAATTTAATTTTCTGAATTTTGTGGGTATTAAATTGAGAATTAGATAAGCTCAAAGGACTCTATTGCAATTTAAGAAATTTAAATATATTTCAAATAACCTATGGGCTAAATATGTAATTTTTAAAAAATATATAAAATATAATTTTATATATGTATTCAATCACTGCGAACAGCTAT